AGTCTTGAGATTGATTCCCATAACACTCATGATTGTGTTAATAGCAGCTATCCCCTCGCATCCAGATCTCAGAGCCACCCTCGCCGGCTATAACATATCAATGTAGGATGATGCATCAGTTATCAATAAAATAATGCAATAAGCTTCCAGAAAAATGTAAAAGAATATGCAAAAAAAAAAAAAAAAAAGATCTTCAATATACATCTAGAATATCAAGAATTTCTGAAAAGGTGATAGAAGGAAAGTATAACTGATTATAGTTTATCCCAATCTAAAATCATCCTAAAAGACGAATTTTCCACTACAATCTCATCCACTATATCAATGCACTACATGATGAAGGTTAATTTAATAAGTAAATTAAGTCGTGTTTTAAAGCAGACCTCAGTAATGTCAGTAATGTTAGGAGTCATCTTCGCCCACACAGGAACAGTAGCTTTCGCATTTATCCAGCCACAAACCTCTTCCAGCAGCCCGCAATCTTGGCCAACAGCCGCCCCCATTTTTCGCTCCGGCATTCCATGAGGGCACGAGAAATTAACTTCAATAGCATCCTACACAATGATAATACAATCCGCAAAGAAAAATTTAGAAATTAATGCTCACCAGTAAACAAAACAAATTTCAGAACACAAAAACTAATCATTAATCTTACAATTCCTGTTTGCTCGACTCGATCAATTAGCTCCTCCCAAGCAGCCTTGTTATACTCCTCCATAATTGAAGCAACGAGAATCCTATCCGGATACTCTTCCTTCAATTGCTTGAATTCTTTCAGCATTGTTTCGAGTGGCCGGTCACTTATCAGTTCTATGTTTTCCCACCCAATAATCTGCCCTTTGGCAGAGCCATTGGCGTCCGCTCTCAAGCGGGCATATCTTGGCGTTACATTTATAACCTTTGCTGCATCTAATGAAACCTATAAATCCGTATTGAAGGTAAACATCCATAAACTAGGGGCCAGAATGTAATGAAACATAAATATAAGGGGCTAAGAGAAATTAAAAAAATAAGAACAACTCACAGTTTTTGCGATCACGGCGCCCCAGCCTTCATCAAAGGCTCTCTTCATGACAGTATAGTTGGTTCCAGGAGGCCCCGACCCGATAACAAACGGATTGGGCATTTGAAGTCCATTTACTTTAACACTCAAATCCGGTTCTGAGGAAGCCTGAGCTTGACCCAACACTCTGAACCCAACTCGGCCAGCGGGTAAACTCAAACTGGGTCGAACCAGACGAGTTAAAGGGAACTCAGCAAAGGCAGAGTCCCCTCTGATGTGGCTCAAATTCAGAGACGCCATGGATGAAAAATCAGAATATAGAGAATTTCTTTGAATTGAATCTGAGTTAAAAGATACTTTTGGGATCTGGGAAAAGCTTGAAAAAAGAGTTATAAATTTATAAGTTAAAAGGAAGAAGACGACGATAAAGATGGCATGGCATGTGAATACATCATTATTTTACGTGTTTATTTAAGCAAACGTTTTGAAATTTAGTGAGACATTGCGTGGGTTTGTTATAATAGGGAGAATTTAACATGGGTTTGATTGAAATTATTGAATTGTTGATCCAAGGGTTTGACAAATTCATAGCTGGCTGTTATGGGAACTGAAAAAAATAATACATTGAAGATAAATCAATCGAGATGATTCGATGTGTAAAGGATATGTTTGAGAGGAGAACATGGATCTCCTTGGCCAATCATGGAGAGACAAATAGATTAGGGTGTGTTTATTTTGTTCTTTCATACCCTATTCCCAAAATAATTGTTTGTTTTATTATTTGGAAATAATATTATATTTTAATTTTTAGTACTCTTAAATTTATTAATTTAATTAAACATCCCAGAAAAAAAAGTTTAAAAATTAACAAAAACAACTTCACCCACCCAAAGTTACCAGATTTCAGCAACCACCATCGGTGGTGGCTAGAATTTGTCACAACAGCCTAAAAACGACCGAAACTGGCCGTTTATTCACCAATCTAGCATTTTCTGACCAGATCTATGGCGGATCTGACAGAAATATCTAGCTTTTTACAGTCGTCGACGACTAAATCTGACCGTTGATCTAGTCAAAAAAGGTCAAATCGACGCACCACTGGCCAGATCCTACTAGTTTGCGTCGTAACGACAGATTCCGACCAGATTCTGGCAGTAGTGGTCGGAATCTGACATTGTGGGTGGGTGGGGGTACTTTTGTCATTTTACAAATTTTTTATATATTGGGGTGTTTAGTTAAATTAGCAAACCTAGAGGTTTAGTTAAATTTTACATCGTAATAATCACTCTATTCAACTACCCAATATTATTCCCAAAATCCTATCTAAAATAACAACGCAAACACACCCTTAATAATGACTATTTTTATTTTTAATTTAAGGACGTAAAAGTCTATAACATCATGGTAATAATATAATCACCGTATCGTAAGTTAGTATTTACATGTGTATCGTATCAGTATTTTTATATAAAAAGAGAAAAAAATACAAACATGACGTGAAAATATTGACTTATAATATGAATGATTTGTTACTTTATTTTATAATTTTTCTTTAAGAAATTGACCATTTTACTCACCTTCTATTTGTTTTCGGTTTTTTCTTTTTAATTTAGATGGAAATATTCTTCAATGTGATGGTGTATAAATTTTATCCAATTATGACATAGAAGACCGTATAAACATAGTCTTGCCTCTAATGGAAAAATCTCACATGTATTCGACGGACGGAGAAGTTTTGCCTCTAATAAAAAAATCTCACATGTACTCGATGCGACGGAATATATAATTCAGTCTAATAACAGTTTAATATGTGTTGATAAATATTTTGTTCCGTATTTAATAATATAGACATGACATTAGTTTTAGAGTAAACAACATATTCCCACCCAAGGTTTGACGAAATCTCAAGTTAGTACCATTCGTTCTATTTATTCCAGATTCTCACTCTTAAAGTGACGAAAAAACGTTTGATGTAACGGTAAAGGGGCAAATTGGTCATTTTACATGGGCGGTGCACGTTAGCAGACCACCGCCTCTAACAGTCCTCTGGCACACATTAGCAGCTGTCGTTCCCGATGTTTTTCGCTCTTTTCCGACGACTCTTCTATCCAAAATCACCCTTGTCACCACCATTTGAACCCCCCTCCTCCCCTCTATAAAACCATACCATTCACAACCCCTCATCACTCGCCAATCGCCGGCCACGGCAATGAAAAACAGCTGATGAACACGAACTCTTGACCGACGAATGACGACGAAATGGTTGCTTGGACATAGGGGTTTTATAGATTTGGAGACGGTGGTTGCATTGGTGGTGTCCAATTGGATTTTCACCGTCGGAATCAACCGGAATCCGGTGAAGAACACCAAAACCCTAAGCCTAACGGTGCCGGCAATTGGAGGGGCAAATGAGTCAGGAACCAGAGGGGTTTTGGTCAACGGGCTACGGGGAAGGTGATGGAGGTGACCAGGGGGTTCGACATCGTCGGAAACAGCCCAATCGTGTATAGTGACCGAGGGTGTTTTTGATATAATTTGAAAATAAAATGGTAAGTTTTTTAATTATACTAATTTAGGGGTTAAAACATAATTTATTAATTTAGGGTTAAGGGCATTATGGTAATTGCACCCTCTAAACCCTAAAAATTAATAACACTGTTACTTTAAGGGTGAGAATTTAGAATAAATGGAACCAATGGTACTAACTTGGGATTTCGTCAAACCTTGGGTGGGAATATGTCGTTTACTCTTAGTTTTACAAGCTATTTTTAGTAATGGGTCAAACTACGTTGTTATCAAAGGATGTATGCACTAATTGATAGTTAATATTTTAATAAAATTAGCTAATATTTCAATCAAATAAAAAAAAAAAAAATCTTAATAGCTCAAGCCCAAAAAAACAACGATGACCATGGACCAACATGAGAGGTTCAAAATGAAAAGGCCCAAATTGCGAAGCCTTGTTCACAGGCTGAATAGGGCTTTTAGTGGATTCATACCCAAATTATTTCTACGCCGACGATGTTGTCGGATTCGAAGTGATTTGATAACTATCTAATGATCGATCAATATGACTCATTTCTCCATTTCGTTCTTTTGAAATGAATTTTATGAATTTATTTTGTAATCAATCTTAGTTTATATGAGGGTATTTTTGTAATTGTGCTTTTACAAAATCAAAATTTTAAATGTTATTTTGCTAAAGCACTTGGATTTTATAAAACTATGTACTAAAAAGAAGTAAGGGTTTTGATCAAATCTTTTTTGTCTAGTATGTCAAAAGTCAAGCCATGAGCATTGAAATTTCTCTCTTGACGTCTATCCAAAAGTCAAGCCTTTAGGCTATGGGTCATTTTCTTCAGCCTTCCTTTACCATAAATGCAATATTTTGAGTATTTATTATTATTATTATTTTATAGTTTGATCTTTTTTTGTTTGTCTGTTGAACATTCACTCTAGCTTGGGAAATACAATTCCCTCATTCCATAACTTCCACGAACGATCGTCCAAAAGTCCTTCGTCCAATTGTATTCATCATTCTTTTCGTTTGTCTAAAGTGTTAACGATTAAGGCTTCGTTTGGCTCATTTTTTGGAATATTATTATTAGTATTCCTAAAAATGTTAAACAGTAAAATGTCATTATTATTAAAATATTATTTTATATTTTTCAATTTCTTTTAAACCTTTTAAATTTGTTAATTTAACTAAACACTCCCAAAATATTTTTTTTAGAAATTGCAAAAATACTCTGGCCACTCTTTGACAGTAGTGGTCGGCTATCCGTATTTAATAAGTGGGTTGGGGGTGTTTTTATTAACTTTTAATATTTTATTATAGGGGTGTTTAGTAAATAAACAAATATAAGAGATATTTTTGTTAATTTATAAATCTTACATTGTAATACCCGCTCAATTTAATTTTTTTTAAAAGATTATTCTAAAAACTATAGAATAATGAATCAAATGAAACCTAAATTTTTTAAATATTATTCTTGTTACACTATATATATACAAAAAGAACAAAAAAAAATTAAAAAACAAGCGAAAAAATAAATACCGTTGATATTTATGTTAAAATAATATAAAAATAACCATATCGTTTTAACATCTAGAGATGGCAAGGGCCCAAATTTTTCGGGTACCCGGCCCGAAAAGGCTAGGCTTTGCCCGGTGTTCGCGGGCTTGGGCCTGAGCCTGATTTTAAGGCATGACCTCTGGTACGGGCTAGGCCTGGGTATGCCTTTAGGCCCGGCCCGGCCCGACAATTTTAGTATTAATTTTCCTAAATTATCTTTATACTATATATTTAATTACAAGATTATCCTACATATATATACAAATTTTTCCCAAACCCTAATCTCATCTCATTTGATGAGTATTCAAAAATAAATTAATATTTAAAAACTATTTTTAGAATTAAAAATATAAAAAAATGAAATTTATTAATATTTAAAAATTGAAATTATAAAAATGGGCGGACTTGGGCCGGGCCTAAGGTTACAAAAAGCCTGTCGAGCCGGGCTTGGGCTTTACTTATTATACCTGTGACTGGCCCGGGTTGGGCTTGGATCTTTGTCATGAGGTCGGGCTTGGGCCTGGGCTAAGGGGTACCTGGTCCTGGCCCGGCCCAGCCCATTGCCATCACTATTAACAACGTTATCCTTATTCCTTAACATAAATAAATAAATAAAAAGGTAATCATGACATAATCTCATGATTCAAAGGAGATTAACCACGTTGTATGCATAAGATATTGTCCCACTAAGGTTGGATTTGGTAATCTTGCCTTGCACGGGATTTAAATTTAAAAAGTAGAAATGGGAAAGCAATTGACATCATGGATGATGGTGGCAATATCTTGGATTTTTATTATATAAAAAGACAGGCGCTCCCATTCATGCATTTCCCCACTTAAATAGAGATAGTGATTTATGGTGACTCATTTAGTCATTTTCGACTTTTAAAGAGAGATCCAGTATCCTTGGATGCCAGCGAACCTCTCAAGAAATATCCTTTTTCCTTCTCCTTTGTCAATCATAAGAATTCACGACCGTAGAATTTTTTTTTTTTTTTTCCGAATTAGTGTCGATTATTGAATGGAGTAACGATATGATATACAAAAAGAAGAATAACTATAAAATGACGTGGGTAAATATAATTTTTTCATATATATTTTTATAAATCTATCATAAGAGTAAACACATAAATACATAAATTCATATATTTCGATTAAAAAAAAACAACAGTAAAAAGATTATGTATTGATAAAAATATATGTTGAACGAATTCATAACTGTAAATTTTTTTTTTATTAGTGTAGGTTGTCGAATGGAGTAATGATGTGATATACAGAAATGAGGATAACCGTAAAATAACATGGATGAATATAGTTTTTTCATGCATATTTTCGTAAATCTATAAACAAGGTAAACACATAAATATGTGAATTTATATATTTCGATTGAAAAAATATCAATAGTAAAAGGATTCTGAATTGATAAAAATATATCTCGAACGAATTCATAATTATAGATTATTTTTTTTTGAATTAGTGTAGGTTGTCGAATGGAGTGGCGATGTGATATATAGAAAGGAGAATAACCGTAAAATGACATGGGTGAATATAGTTTTTTCATTCATATTTTTGTAAATCTATGAACAGAGTAAACAGGGGTGGATCCAGCCACTTTTTGGGTGGGCCATGAATTTTTATTTTTTTTTAATGTTAATATGTATAATTTATATATTTTGGCCCACCCTAACAAAAATATTAATGGACAAAAGTATTAATGTATAATTAATTTTTACTTTGGCCCACCCTAGCAAAAATTTCTGGATCCGCTACTGAGAGTAAACACATAAATATGTGAATTCATATATTTTAATTGAAAAAGAATCAATACTAAAAGGATTGTGAATTGATAAAAATATATCTCGAACTAATTCATAATTGTAGATTTTTTTTTTTTTTTTGAATTAGTGTAGGTTGTCGAATGGAATAATGGTGTGATATACATAAAGGAGGATAACTGTAAAATGACATGGGTGAATATAGTTTTTTTATGCATATTTTCGTAAATCTATGAACAGTGTAAACACATAAATATGTGAATTCATATATTTTGATTGAAAAAGAATCAATAGTAAAAGGATTCTGAATTGATAAAAATATACTCTCGAATGAATTCATAATTGTAGATTTTTTTTTTTTTTGAATTAGTGTAGGTTGTCGAATGGAGTAATGATGTGATATACAGAAAGGAGGATAACCGTAAAATGACATGGGTGAATATAGTTTTTTCATGCAAATTTTTGTAAATCTATGAACAGTGTAAACACATAAATATGTGAATTTATATATTTTGATTGAAAAAGAATCAATAGTAAAAGGATTCTGAAGTGATAAAAATATATCTCGAATGAATTCATAATTGTAGATTTTTTTTTTTCGAATTAGTGTAGGTTGTCGAATGGAGTAACGATGTGATATACAGAAAGGAGGATAACCGTAAAATGACATGGGTGAATATAGTTTTTTTATGCATATTTTTGTAAATTTATGGACAGAGTAAACACATAAATATATGAATTCATATATTTTGATTGAAAAAAAATCAATAGTAAAAGGATTCTGAAGTGATAAAAATATATCTCGAATGAATTCATAATTGTAGATTTTTTTTTTTTTTTTAACTAGTGTAGATTGTCGAATGGAGTAACGATGTGATATACAGAAAGGAGGATAACAGTAAAACGACATGGGTGAATACAATTTTTTCATGCACATTTTTGTAAATATATGAACAGTGTAAACACATAAATACGTGAATTTATATATTTTGATTGAAAAAGAATCAATAGTAAAAGGATTCTGAATTGATAAAAATATATCTTGAACGAATTCATAATTGTAGATTTTTTTTTTTTTTTAAATTAGTGTAGGTTGTCGAATAAAGTAGCAATGTGATATGCAGAAAGGAGGATAACTGTAAAATAACATGAGTGAATATAATTTTTTCATACATATTTTCGTAAATCTATGAACAGGATAAACATATAAATACGTGAATTCATATATTTCGACTAAAAAATAATTAATTGTAAAAGGATTATGAATTGATAAAAATATACTCTCGAACGAATTCATAACTATAGATTTTTTTTTTTTTTTTAATTAGTATAGGTTATCGAATGGAGTAGCGATGTGATATACAAAAAAAGAGGATAACCGTAAAATGACATAAGTGAATATAGTTTTATCATGCATATTTTTGTAAATTTATGAACAAGGTAAACATAAAAATACATGAATTCATATATTTCAATTGGAAAAGAATAAATAGTAAAAGGATTCTAAATTGGTTGGTATATATCTCGAAACGTTCTGAATTAATGGATGTTGTCAAAAGGAGTAGGCGAGTAGCAATGTGATATTAAAAAAAGGAAGATATTTATAAAATGACAAAGGTGAATAGAGTTTTTAAACATTTTCATTAACATATGAAAAAGTTCTATTTAAAAATAGAAACCTATAAATTCATACATCTTGATCGGAAAATAATCAATAAGAAAAAAAAATCAAAATCGATCAATATATTTCTTGAAACAAAGTAAAATAAAACATTCAAAATGACTCAGATTCATATAACGTTCCAAATTAGTGGATACCACCGAAGGAATATGCAAAAAGTATGAGATCATAGAGTCGTAAAACGGTTAAAAATCCATGAACACATAGATTAGTAGATTCATACATTTCCTTTGGAAGAGAATCGAATTGATTCATATATTTCTTAAAGGAAACGAAAGATTAAACATTCTAAAAGATTGTTTTATCAGTGATGATGAAGAACCAAAGTGCACGTGTTATTCTAAGCAACAATGTAGAGGATTTTTCATTTTTCTTTATAATAATATTGCACGTCCACTTCATTATCTCATGTCTTGGTGTCACTCAGAGTGCGACTCGCTGAGTGGAGAGGAATCTCCCTGGAACCTTGTGGATAAAGTTGAAATTTAAAATATCTATATTATAATGGATATTATCCCACACCTCCCTTGAGGTTTCAGTTTTTGTTTCTCATACCCCAAAGGTATGAAAAATTAACCCTGACTTCCCTTAACATTTGGAGAACTATCCAATACCTCCCCTCCATATGGTTTGGTTCGTTTAATCTTATAAGATTGATTAATATTAAACCCATCCATTTTATTCCAAAAGTATTAAAAACACCCATGCCCATAGAGATATGTTGGGATTCGCTTCAATTTTAAAATTAAAATATCTCTTCCTATCACTTACCAACTTAAAAAATATTTTTTAATTCCTCCTACTTGTTTATTATTTAGGATTTTTTATAATAATTATTTTGTAAGTTCAAAGGTAGATTTTGTGGATTTAGATATTTATTGAGTGAAGGATTTAAGAAATTTAAAAAATATTTTTTAATTCTTCCTACTTGTTTATTATTTAAGATTTTTATAATAATTATTTTGTAAGTTCAAGGTAGATTTTGTGGATTTAGATATTTATTGAGTTAGTAAGTGATGAAAGGGTAAAATAGACTTTAATTTAAAAAATTGGATACTGTTTCATATTAGTTATTACTAACAACAAGTGTGTTTTTAATACTTTCAAGACAAAGTGGATGAGTGTGATTTTAATTGATCTCATAGGGTGTTAATAAATAGTGTAGGCCAAACATAAGAAATCTATCAATTAAGGCCAATAAGGGAATAATCCTTCAAATATGAAGGGAGATCACGGATAATTATTCATACCCTTGGGGTGTCATGGGTAATGACCCATATATATATAATAACCACATAAATTACACTATTTATATGGATTTGTTTTAATATTATAATCAAATTGACTTATTTTAATGTAGAAGAAAAGATAATAATTTGTAGAATAGGAGAAACAAGGATGTACAAATTAAAGGACATTTTAAAAAAAAAAAAAAAAAAAACTAAACTGAATCCGTTACTATCCACAAAACTCAAACCCCGGTCCAAAACTTCACGGGCATTCGGGTCAAACCTATCCACTAATCACTCGGATCCCAGATCCTTTCCCAGAAACGGATGGTTCAACAGCTGAGAGGCCGTCCATCTCTTACTAGACTCCTTCTGCAGGCAACACTCAATGAAGCTACGAAATTCCTCGGATACCCCGTCGGGTAAACTCGGGGGATCTCCGAAGCAAATCGCGCACATAAGGGTAGCCCAGTCGGGTCGTTGACCCGGTTGTAGAAACGGAAAATGACCCAAATAAAGCTCCAGCAAAGTCAGCCCCAAGCTCCAAATATCGCCGGCGTAACCATTGTAGTTTCCGCCGTAAGTTTCGGGATCGAACCGCTCCGGACTCATGTACGCGCAAGTTCCGACGTAAGAATTGCAGGCGTCCAAGCTCCTGCACATAATTTTACTGACGCCGAAGTCGGAGATTTTCACTTGCATGTTACTGTTCACAAGAAGATTCGACGGCTTAATATCGCGATGAATGATTTTATGCGCGTGCAAATAACTCAATCCTTTCAGGATTTGGGCTGCGATGTGGGCGAGTTTTTGTTCAGAGAAAGTCCCCTTTTTTTGCAGTAATGTGTCGAGAGTGCCGGCGTCCATGTACTCCATCACCATGGCAATATCCCCTGACGGTTTTTCGAACACGCCGTGGCACTGGACGACGAAAGGAGAGTCTGTACGGCGGAGGATTTCCATTTCGCGGAAGACTTGGCGGCGGAGGGTGGAGTCGCTCTCGCCGTGGACAACTTTCAAAGCAAAAATCTTGTCAGTCCTTTTATGACGGACTTTGTAGACAGTTCCACCATTTCCGTGGCCGAGGACTTGTAGCCTGTCCAAGTCTGCGCATGTTATGGCGGCTGCCGCGGCGGCAGAATTGCCGGAGGGGGCTGCAGCTGGAGGGAGAGGTAAGGGGAAACGTGGGCAACGGTCGGATTCTGGTAAAGAGAGTTGCAGATTCAACTGTCTGCGCTGCCTGACAACTGCCATTAATACAACTTAGAGCTTCCAGTTCAGGGTTTGACGAGATAAAATGAAGTGAAGCGAGATAAAAGGAAGTGAAGCGAGGAATTATATATAAAAAATTTGAAGGGAGAAGAAATGAATGATTAATGAAGTGAGAGAGCTAATTGGGGAAGTTGAAGGAAGGTGGAAGGATACAGAGAAGAAGGGGGGTCCCCCTTCCAAATAAGGTTAAAAATTTGGGTGATTGCCTGATTGGTGGCTTTTTTTTGTTTTGTTTTTTATTTTTTTAGAATATAATAATTAATTTTAACATGTGACTAAATAAAGAGCCACCAAATTTTTGGCAAGCTAGTGGAGTAGAGTTTGGTGGCTAGCCCTATGTCCTTATCAGCTCAAACTTTTATGCACAATATTTTAAAATTTTAAATTGAGAAAATTCTTTATCTAATTTAAGTCATTTTCAATTTTAGAGAAAATATGTTCTTAATAAAGTTTTAAAAGGATATTTTTTATGCATCCTATGCATATACAACCGATTAATTAGATTATTACATATTTGATAATACTACTCTTTCTCCATGATATCCCGAATTTCTTATCATTATATATTTGGATAATACTACTTTTTTTGGATGATATCCTAAATTTCTTATCATAAATGATGTATTCCATCATATGTCGATGATGTGTAAATAAAAAGTTGAGGTATTTACGATGTGTCAGTGCCACATGAGATGATACAGTATTTGGGATAGAAATTTTGGAATACCGTTCGCGAAAAGTAGTAGTGTAAATGTTTTTACAGTTTTTTATGTAAAGAATTTGATCTAATTTTTTTTTATTTTTGAGTGTTAGGTGATAGTAGTTAAACCATTAGATAATGCAAGTAAACAAGGCTAGCGTTTTAAATTTACACGACCATTTTGAGACGGATTGTACAATAATAAGTAAATTAACCCCAAGGGGTTGGCGTGGCGATTAAGGAAGTTTGTTTCCTTCCTTGAGTTTTTAGATTTAAACATTTGAGTCATCTACCACAATAACATTGTGATTTACCTGATCCTTTGGACTTGTAGGATCTTCAATGAACTAGGAAGATTAATTGAAATATGTGCAAACTGGCTCGTATACCCTAGTTACCAAAAAAAAAAAAAAAAAAAAAAAAAAAAAAGGTAAATGTATAATTAAATATGTATGTTTTATAGCACAAGTTAATGATGTATTTAAATTTGGAAGTATTTTCCCCAAGATGGAGTAGATTGTATAAGCATGTTTATTATTCTAGTTTTTGTTATTCTATTATAAGACTTCAAGTTAGGTGGGTAACCGTTTTGAAATTAAGATTCTTCTTCCTTCAAGGAAACAACAAAACTTCTTATCAATATTGTCGAGATCAAGGTACTTAGACAATTATATATATATGTAATTAGATGTTCGGATCAGCTTGTAGGCACTTAACTATCTCTTAGGCCTAAGTTACAATCAGATAATCTTGGAGTGGTCATCCCTATTAGCAACCTAGTAAATCGAACTCAAGACTTCTTAAAAATGTACCAAGAGACTTAGTTGGACCACCTAGATGGTTGACCTTGACAATATAACAAGATACAATAGATAGTGCAACAAGTTGAGTGTGGATTGAATTGATTAATTTAATACGGTTGGTTGGTATAAATGTGGAGCCCTAAGTTGAGGTGGATTGAATGTATTAAATTTTAAGGTTCAACTTGGAGAAGACCTTGACTAAAGCCTAAAGGGTCTCACTACGTCATATTAAAATTAATAAATACAGTAGTAGTTATTAAATAATTTAATTGTTAATAGCTAGGGGTTACGCTATTTTAAAACAATTTTTTTTTTTTTAACGAAAGCCTTTAATACAAAGTCTTAATTAAAATTCGATACAATCTAATGAACTTAACAGAAGATTAGAGTTAATTATTTTTAATGTTAACTCAATAATTCTATATTGTTGAATTATATTAAATTAAAAATTTGTATTAAAATAATTTTTAGTATGATCTATTCAATTGGAATGCTATGCATCCGGGGGCCCAATACATTATCAGGCTGCTCAGCCCACGGATTAGAGCAGTGGGAAAAAGACTTCAACTCATTCTAATAATCTAATTGGGTTTTATTTCGTTCGCTCGTATGAGTAAAGCTCAAGTCAAAACGCTCCAATGACTATAGGAAATTATTAAATATTTCCTAGAGATATCATAAATCCCTTGTAAATATCAAAACCCCACTAAGGATAAAGGCATTTAATTTTTTTTCGATAATTACTGTTAAGGTAATACAAAAGTCGAATTGAATCGGTAACCAAACCAGTTTTTTAATTATTTGGAAAACCGATTCGGTTTTAATTCAAAGAAATACAAAAATTGATTTATCGGTTTATGAGAATATGGGAACCGATCAACCAAAACCGGTTTATTATAAAAATATTTAAAAAAATCCGGTTTATTATAAAAATATTAAATATTAAATTAAAATTGATTCAAAACTTGTTAATTGGTTTTTCCCTTAATTGGTTCAGTTTTTGTTCAGAAAAATTCTAAATTGAAAAACCGATTTGGTTCACAAAATCGGTTAACCGGTTTTGAACACCCCTAACTACTGTGACATTTTTTGGCTTAAGCATTACTATGGGAGCTTATGAAATTAGCCCTTCTACTTTCCAAAAGCAAAATTGACTACCTAAAATTGGGATTAAGACTACACGATGAAAGGGGTATATATTTTAGGAACAATAATACTATGCTTACAAAGATTTTAATACAAAGTGAGGTGAATTGTTACATCATTTTGTATAGAGATCTTTGTAAGATTCTTCTTCCTCAGTGGAAACCAACAAAACTTCATTATCAATATTGTATGGAACTCAAGGTCCTTAGACAATTATATATATATATATTGGTGACTGGAGGTGTCCAGATAAGCTTACGGATACCTTAACTAATCTTTCGGGGCCCTGAAGTTGACAACCGGGTAAATCCCCAGGGTGACCACTCCTATTAATAACCCAAGTGGATCAAACTCAAGACTTCTTAAGTAATACACTTAAGAGTCTTAATTGAGGCCACTGAATGGTGGTTGACCCTAGACAATATAACAAGATAAAATAGATAGTGCACCAAGTTGAGTGTGGATTGAATTGTATTAAATTTAATATGGTTATTTGGTATAATTGTGGAGCCCTAAGTTGAGAGTGGATTGAATTGTATTAAATTTAAAGGTTCAACTTGGAGAAAGATCTTGACTAGAGGGTCTCACTACGTCAGTATAATGATACAATGAATTTGTATTAAAATATTTTTCTACAATGTCAATTATTATGGCATGTGAGGGATCAGTGTGATCTGTTCAATTGGAATGCTATGGGTCCGGGGGCCCAATACATTATTAGGCTGCACGGCCCACGGATTAGAGCAGTGGGAAAAAGGCTTTAAGTCATTCTAATAATCTAATAAGGTTTTATTTAGGGGTGAGCGGTCCAGGTATCCTACATTTTTCGGGAAAATTATAATTAGAATCGCACAGTGTAGGTTCCTAAAAAAAGGAACCGAAACTGAAACCGCACAATACATGTTCTTAAATTCAAGGAACCGGAACCTAAAATATAGGTTTTGGTTCCTTTCCCGGGTACCCTATAAAAAATCAATTATCCCCATATTAGTTTAAAAAATAACAAAAATACCTTAAAATTTTACAAATATACCCCTAACAAATTTTGATTACTCATTCATTTGTGTCCAATGTGAGTCATAAATCCTCTAATCTCTAGGCAACACTTGAATTCAATCAATTCATCACAATTCACATAAAATTGCTCAATCAAAACTAAAATTTAAATAATTAATTAAATTAATTAAACAATCATACTATAAATCTATAATTTAATATTATAATTAATTAAATTTATAATCATTTAATTAAGTATTGTACTAATGTTTACAATTAAATATTATAATTAATTTAGTAATCATACTATAAATCTATAATGTAATGTTATAATTAATTAAATTTTTAATAATTTAATTAAGTAATATACTAATGTAGTAAATTACTAATATTTATAATATAATGTTATAAATTTATAATGAATTAAGTAATCATTTAACTTTGTAATGTTATAAGTGATTATAATATAAAGAAATATTATTATCAATTAAGTAATTATTTAATTATAATGTAATGTTTTGATTAATTAAATTTCTAATCATTTAATTAAGTATTATACTAATATTTATAATACAATGTTACAATTAATTAAGTAATCATTTAATTAAGTAATCATACTATAAGTTTATAATGTAATATTATAATTAATTAAATTTCTAATAATTTAATTAGGTATTGTGCTAATGTAGCAAATTACTAATGTTTATAATATAATATCATGATTAATTAAGTAATCATTTCATTATGTAATGTTATAATTAATTATGTGTTTATTATATAATGTAATGTTACAATGAATTAAATAATTATACTATAAATCTTTAATATAATATTATAATTAATTAAATTTCAAATCATTTAATTAAGTATTGTACTGATGTTTATAATGAAATGTTATAATTAATTAAATAATCATTTGTTTAGAATAATGAAATGTTATAATTAATTAAATAATCATTTGTTTAGAATGTAATGTTATAATTAATTAAGTAATCATATTATAAATTTATAATATAATGTTATAATTAATTAAATTTCTAATAATTTAATTAAGTATTGTACTAATATAGTAAATTATTGATGTTTATAATAAAATGTCATAATTAGTTAAAAAATTATTTCATTATATAATGTTATAATTAATTATGTGATTATACTATAATGTAATGTTATAATGAATTAGGTAATCATACTATAATTCTTTCATATAATATTACAATTAATTAAATTTTTTATTGTTTAATTAAGTATTTGTACACGTAAAAATCTACCTGTACGGAAGGGGGGTCTGATCCCATGAGGTTGAGGCCACTAGCGATCCGCTGCACCTGCACATGTAGAGAAACAAACGCGTGAAGCAAACGGGAAACACCGGGGTGGTGTTTGCTATAGGCACTCCAACACTCAAGTCAGCAAGGCTGAAAGAGGCTAGTATAGTGAGGGCTAGGGAGTAGAGAGGTTACCGGAGGTCTAGTTGGA